CTATTACGTTGGCAGATAGACCTCATTCTGATGGTATTGTAAGCCCCCACGGTGACAGATAGACCTCATTTCTCTGACTACTCCAACAACAGCAACAACTACTACTACTACTTCTACTACTACTACTAACCAATACTATTTCTACTAGACACTAGTTCTATCTACTACTGCTTCTACTACTACAACTACCCCTACTGCTGCTGCTGCTACTACTACTACTACTACTACTACTACTACTACTACTACTACTTCTACTACTACTACTACTTGTATAACCAATACTACCCCCACCACCACTGCCACCAACATAATGTTTGTTACTGATACTCGATCCTACTGCTGGAACAAGGCAAGTTCACCCAAGCTCTAAATATCCCTAATATTTTCTTTTCTATACGCCAGGTGGCGACCATGTTGAAGCTGGTACTACCATCACTACCTTGGACAAGAAAGCAAGCCCGTTGTTCTCAACTACTACTAAAAAGGATGGTCGCACATCAGCTGTTGCCATGGGAACCACAGCAGGCGCCATCATAGTCATCGTCTTGCTAGGCATCATCCTGCCAGATGTAATAACTCTCATCCGCCATCTTGGAATCATGAAACACAATTTCAGGAACCTTCGCCATGAACCACAGAGCGAAAACAAAGTCAAAGAGAGGAGACGTGGACGAACGAATCAAGCCAAGACTTCCAAACTTGAGTCGAAGAAATTCTTCATCGTGGAAACATCCATGCCACAGATGACAGACGTACGTGACACGGCCATTAGATGGGGGAATAGGAACCATCCACCCCGGACGTCCCACAGCGTTTGCCAGACCACGTCGAGTATGGTCTGATTCTGTCCGCGGAACAAAATCAGTAGTGTGGGACATCCCTTGTAATACCGTTTTTCGGATTTCCGAAATGAACACAGTGTGTTACGTGTATTGTCAAATGCTGTGAATTTGTTAGTATATTGCACATGTAACACATATTATATTTGGGATTACATTTTCTCAATAAAGTACATATTCTAGTACTTTTCTTGGACTGAGTCCCATCCGGGATTCGAACCGACACTTTCAGAGTTAGGCATCTACTTGCCAACACACAGTCATCCATCTGAGCCAACTTTGTGCTGGCGATTACTGAGAGCGTCTGTTCGAATCCTGGACGGGACTCAAACCAACGAAATTAGGAGAAACTGTACTTTTCTGAGAAAGTGTAATCCCAAATATAACACATGTTACATTTGACCACTTTCTAAATGGCATTGTGTATTCATAGTATATTGCATAATTTATCCTAAGAACCCAATCGTTGGTGCAATACACAAAATGTTGTAAGTAGAATATATGTAAATCTTGTTTATTGTCATCCAAATATCATGTGTATGTGTTATCAACGACCCCAAAGTAAGTCCCAAATGTCCTGGTTTTGGCATATGTAAGTAAATAAGTAAGTGTCCAGTAAGCTGAACACTACTGAATTTCGGGAACTGTTTCTCAAATCGGCTACATGTGCGAGTTTGTAAGCCCCGGGAAGTAGGCGAGAGGTTCCTGGCTTTGCTGGTATGCCCTGGAGCGGATGGGTGACAGGTGTCATATCATGTTCCAGGTAATTGGTATTGAGTTATAGCAAGAGATATTCACTTGCAGGGCAATTTGATAACGGTATGACCAGCGGGGGAAACATTGTTACCATTTTAGTATCGTCAGTCCTACCATTCTACTAAACGGTATTTCTGTTATATTCCTGCAGCCCGATCCACAAAGTATCGTAAGCCTATGACAAACTATACAGTTACGAGCGTTTCGAACGCTTTGTGGCTCTGGAACCTCTCGTACAATGATGTTATTTCTGTGTCATGACGATTATTTATCCATTGGCTGTCTATTTTACGTCTTTGTGTAAGTTGTCGTTTATTAAAGCAGCCCATCTATAAACGACTTTTATTTTTCTCATATACATATCACAGTCAAGCATTTCCATGAGGCCAGTCGCAAAATAATTATTTAGAACTGATATCTCGATCCTGATGGATAAAATCACCCTTTTGTCTTAAGTGACGTACCCGTGAAGGTCCGGGTTAGAATGAACCTTCAGTAACCAATGCTTGTCGTAAGAGGCGACTATCGGGATCGGGTGGTCAGGCTCGCTGGCTTGGTTGACACGTGTCATCGTATCCCAATTGCGCAGATCGATGCTCATGTTGTTGCTCACTGGATTGCCTGATCAAGACTCGATTATTTACAGACAGCCGCCATATAGCTGGAATATATTGCTGAGTGCGGCGTAAACTGAACTCACTCACTCACTTAAGTGACGTATCGGTCTAGCACGTTTTAGAATCGTTTGGGCGAATATTTGATGTCTCGGTCCTAACTTCTCTATTTTGTGTCAACCTTTTACTGACAGCGACATCTCGATCTAGACCTTTGTGCTTTGTGTCAACCTTCTTTGACAGTGACATATTGGTCTAGACCTCTGTAATTTTTGTTAAACTTTCTCTGAGAGTGACATATCGGTCTAGACCTCTGTACTTTGTGTCAGCCTTTCTTTGACAGTGACATATCGGTTTAGACCTCTGTGCTTTGTGTCAACCTTTCTCTGACAGTGACATCTCTGTCTAGATCTAGACCTGTGTACTTTGTGTCAACCTTTCTCTGACAGTGACATCTCTGTCTAGATCTAGACCTCTGTACTTTTGTATCAACCTTTCTTTGACAGTGACATCTCTGTCAAGACCTGTGTGCTTTATGTCAACATTATTTGACAGTGACTTCTCGGTCTAGACCTCGTTTTTGTGTAAACCTTTCTTTGGCACGACTTCTCGGTCTAGATCTCTGTACTTTGTGTCCACCATTCCCTGACAGTGACATCTCAGTCTAGACCTCTGTACTTTTGCATCAACTTTCTTTGACAGTGACATATCGGTCTAGACCTGTGTGCGTTGTGTCAAACATTCTTTGACAGTGACTTCTCGGTCTAGACCTCTGCTTTGTGTCAACCTTCCTTTCACAGTGACATCTCAGTCTAGTACTCTGTGCTTTATGTCAACATTATTTGACAGTGACTTCTCGGTCTAGACCTCTGCACGTTATGTCAACCATTCTCTGACAGTGACGTATCGGTCTAGGTCTCTGTACTTTGTGTCAACCATTCTCTGAGAGTGACATATCGGTCTAGACCTCTGTACTTTGTGTCAAACTTTCTTTGAGAGTGACTTCTCGGTCTAGACCTCTGCTTTGTGTCAACCTTCATTTCACAGTGACATCTCAGTCTAATACTCTGTGCTTTATGTCAACCATTCTCTGATAGTGACATCTCGGTCTAGGCCTCTGCACGTTATGTCAAACTTTCTTTGACAGTGACATCTCGGTCTAGGCCTCTGTACTTTGTATCAACCATTCTCTGATAGTGACATCTCGGTCTAGGCCTCTGTGCTTTGTATCAACTATTCTCTGATTCAGTGACAGTGACATCTCGGTCTAGGCCTCTGTACTTTGTGTCAACCATTCTCTGACAGTGACATCTCGGTCTAGGCCTCTGTACTTTGTGTCAACTATTCTCTGACAGTGACATCTCGGTCTAGGCCTCTGTACTTTGTGTCAACCATTCTCTGACAGTGACATCTCGGTCTAGGCCTCTGTACTTTGTGTCAACCATTCTCTGATAGTGACATATCGGTCTAGGCCTCTGTACCAACCTATCTTTGACAGTGACATCTGATAGCGTTGTCTCTGAGCGTGATGTCCAGCTTGCAGTTCCCTTTATTTATTTGTTGCCATGTTTCGATTGTATCTGCGAACGCGCCTTCATGTATTTTTGGGCTAACCAAAACCATAGACGATTCAGCACATCTCCCATGAGTGAGTCATCGTTGTCTTACATACAGTTGTAGTGAAGAAATGTGTTTGGTGGTTGACATACTAATGCACATACACCATCAACAACAGGAACGATGTATTCATATCACATGCGCTGTTCGATGTCAAGCGGAGCTCAGCTTGACACAGGCTTAACTTGAATGTGGTAGTTGAACATATGTCACATTCTGCATCATTTCCAATTATAACTAACCAGATACTTTTTATCTGTCACCAGTGTATATTCATACCACCATTTAACGTGTCTGTTCTCATTCAGATGTCATTCAATTACTCTCCATAATAGAATGAGTTCCACACTTTGGTAAACATGCATCCGCCTGACTGGAAATGCAATGCTGCAATTAACAAATGGTAATTCTACTCGTTTAACATATTCCCTGATGTTATTTCTTTCTGAAATTATATATTGTCGTGTCTGTTCCAAATATATTTCCAAGGATATGATACAGTGGAATCCGATTTAAGGACATGTGTACAGTCAACTAAATGTGTATTTTCCACCAAGGAAATATTTCTGCCGTCCAGTGTCCACTGCTGTGGGGGACGGTGGAGTAGCCGAGTGGTTAAAGCGTTTGCTCTTCACGCCGAAGACCCGGGTTCGATCCCCTATGTGTGGGGAAATGTGTGAAGCCCATTTCTGATGTCCCCTGGTGTACCCTGCCGTGATATTGCTGGAATATTGCTAAAAGCGGCGTAAAACGGAACTCACTCACCTAACTGCTTTTGGGAGTAATGGGGGTTATTAAGAAATATACTTGCGTGTCAGTCTAATGAGGGACAAAGTTAGGAGACGTGAAACACAAGATAACAGATTAATTGTCCCTATTATAGGGCCGGTCTGCATACGTTTTCTCATGACACGTTGAAGGTACTGGTTCGATTCCCCAAATTTGCAAAAACACGTGAAGCCCATGTGTTGTGTCCCCTGCCAAGAAATTGCTAAAAATCATAGTCTCACTCTAGACATGTAGATAAAAAGATGATAACAGACACGCATCTATCGCAGTCTTGTCTTGAATGTGGCTACTGCCTATATACTCCAAGTTCTGTAGAAAATGTTCATATACCGTCATATATTGTGGCTGGATGATGCTTAATGCAAAAAAATTAAAAACATGAATATTAAAATATGCATATATTTAGGTCTCATCACCGCTGTAGCCTTACATGAAAGATACAATTTGTAGATTAAAGTCATAACCTTCATGAATTATGAATAATATTGAACACAATGAAACCAGAAGTCGAACCTCTACAGTAATCGATGTATCTCTCATGGCGAATTCCGTTACGGCCTCGACACAATTCCCGTAGGCAGCATTCCCAGTATTGTCACACTGCTTGTCTCGAAGTACGGATAACTCGCTGAATACATTATCATTCCCAGCACTTCGAATTAACGACCTCTTTCTGTTCATAACACAAAGCCTTCCATTTGGCGTTTGTTTCGTAATCATCCGTTATATTAACCCTCCTTGCTCTGAAGCGAACACCTGGTATCAGTTCAGATAATTGTCACCTATTTTGCCTTTTACCTTTATGGAATCTGTTTCGTAGGAGAGTCGTGAATGGTTGTTCTCTCGCGTTGACGTTATATATTTTCTAATGTAAAATTCTATTTATTTGTAAAACAGGTATACTTTGTAAGTTTCATGACAAAACATAGCAAATGTTCTGCTTGTTTTGAAGGTGACATAGTAATATCGAAAAGAGGAACGGAATTCGAATATATGATGTGAAAGTTTGTAACTGTACTTTCACCGTTAACTAAATGTCAGGTCGTTGGTACGTTGTCTTCGCTTTCAGTTTGGCCATTTGTTTTTCAATCTGCCGTAGTTGTTGACACACCTTGTTCTGTGACGACAACATGACGTCCATGACGCCGTTTATCCGCGTTATCATTTGACTGATCTCAATCAAACCGATGGAAGTACCGTCAATTTCCGCCAAGGATGCGCGCGCCGTTCGCATAGTCCTCACAGCGTTCCGTAGCTTCCAGTTCAGGAGAGTCAGCGAACTTCCGGAACCATACTTCCGTTTACAATACCAGATCCGGAGCACAAGCTTCACCACGTTTGCTGCAGCACATTTTCGTTTATTCTGCAAGTGTATTCGTGTTAGGAAATTATACACATATTGTTCTGATCGGCTCTGCTCCAAGCGCCGGGCTAGAACGGCGACTAACAGAGCACACGAACCTAGTCCCATGAGTCCGGTCACAATGGCGACCAAATGACCACAATGGGTATGTGGCGTCAAATCCCCGTAACCAATTGTCAGGAAGGTCATAGCCGCCAACCACATGAAGCTTGTGAGATCTGTTGTCGTGGTGAAGTAGATTTCGCAGGTTCTCATTGCCCATACACTTACTACATACATGGACAACATAATGCAGGAAATCACGAACCAGGGGTGTTTCTTCATAGCGCACTTAAACACAAAGAACGGGCTTATTCTAACCGTACTCACAGCTCCAATACTCTGAGTAGAAGGATCCGTTAGAAGCCGACTGTGCACCACCATGAAACTACCGATAATGTACAGTCGGAACATCATTAAAACCGACAGGATTCTGTCAACACTGGAGGCAACTTTAATATCCTTTACGGTATCCAAAGCAATATTAATATCTCCAGGGAATGGGTGAATGGCGCAGACGACTAGTTCAGCTACCAACATGAACCACGTCGACACGGGGGTGACGACGAGCGGGTCGTCCACGCCACCGTCCACCATCCGGATCTCCATCCCCGTGTGGTAGTACACACATATGGCTACCAGCAGCAGCAGGGTGGAGATCGACGTCAGAGACTTCAGGAATAGGGACGCCACGTTGCCTTTCTCGTACATGTCAGAGTAGTACAGTTCATTTTCTATCACCATGAATACAATTCCGGACATCGCCATGAAAAACTTGATATTCACCAGCCATCTTCGCCTCTGGATTAACTTCTTCCTCAACTCAAGCTTAGAACCCAAAGTCCTCTCTCGTTTCTCCGCTTCCGGTCTCGCGGTCTCACGTTTGTTGTTTCCTGAGTTTTCCTCCATGTATTTCCAGGCGTTGGACTTCTCTTTGACCAGGGGATGAAAGGGGTTGTCATCACTCATGTCTACCTGTCGAATATATAACACTACAGTACTGGATGTCGTAAAGGGAATTAATGAAATATATACTATTCACACTTTGCTAAGGATCAAATCATGGATTCAACAGAAAACTATGATTGGGGGTCAAATTTGGTTTAAATATCTAAGCTTATTGTAAGCATGGATCCTAGGTTTCAGTGTGTCATTTCATCTTGTGTATCCAAAACCTGCTATTGACAGGTGTTGTATACTTGTGAATGACTCGTTCCATTATTTGCAGAATGCTTGCTTGGTGCCATGAAACCAATTTGTATGGTTACTCATGTATCAAGTGGATAAGGTGAGATTAAAGTGACTGTTTGCCTAAAGAGTGGTTACCATATGATTATTTATCCAGTTTTAAATGGATACAGTTTCAAATTATAAATCTACTTTTAAGTAAAGATGTGATTTTTTGCGATCCTTAGCAAAGTGTGAGTAGTATACGTCTGGAAACATATGACGAATTGCTTATAATATTTTTCAAGGTTTCAATTTTTCAAACACTTTTCGCGAACTACAGGTGTTAGTCCTTATATTCAGTGACATGTCACATAATATTCACCGTTATCATCACACATCTGCAAAAATGCTAACTAACTAACTAAATGCTAGTACTAACTTACCAAGACATATCGCTTAGATCGTGGACTCTTATCATAACAGATGACAGCTTCAAAATGATCAATAAGCATACCCTCGCCACCCCCAAAAAGGGAAAAAAGGATTACAATATACATTATCATTATCGTCCAAAAAGGGAGATTAAACACAGTCATTGTCCACATGATACAAGATATTGAGGGTATGAATAAAACAAATGAGTTAAAAAGATATATCAGGAGCCGTATTAATAAAGATTTTTAACTCTTAGAATCTTATCAATACGGCTCCAGAATCAGAAGAAAAGTCACATAGCCACATTTACTATGCTTGAATAGTTTAGGAAGGTGGTGCGCCACCATGCCCCTCGACAAGGGAGATTACCAACCTAGTGATACTGTCAAGACATTTAACAAGTCGATCTTGTCCAATGTTCCGTGGTGCAGGTAACTAACTGCCTGTTCGAACGTTTTAGAACATGTTCTATAGTGTCCAAAACATGTTCTATCGGGTTCATGGCTATCTGTCAACTCCTTCTCTGTGCAAATAATAAACAATGGTTCGAAGGGTCGGGCATTTCTGCCGTCAGTATGATGTTACCAGCATGAAGTAGATAGGTACCCTATAAAAGCGTATACCCTAAATTTTCCGTTTAGGTACAATCATAATTCTGACCACCACAAACACAGAACAGGTCGCAATGAGTTGTATTCCCTACAAACTGGGTCCACAAGAACCGTTTCACAGTCAAAACCGGTCAACAAACAGGTCGTCGTGAGCTGTTTTACCTGCTAATTGGGTCCACAAGAACCGTTCCATTGTCAACGAACAGGTCGTCATGAGCTGTATTCCCTGCTAATTGGGTCGACAAGAACCGTTCCATTGTCAACGAACAGGTCGTCATGAGCTGTTTTCCCTGCTAAGTGGGTCCACAAGAACCGCCCTTCTGCCAAAAAGGGTCAACGAACAGGTCGTCATGAGCTGTATTCCCTTCTAAGTGGGTCCACAAGAGCCGCTCCACTGTCAAAAAGGGTCAACGAACAGGTCGTCATGAACTGAATTCCCTGCTACTTGGGCCCACAAGAACCACCCTTCTGTCAAAAAGGGTCAACAGACAGGTCGTTATGAGCTCTATCCCCTACTAATTGAGCCCACAAGAACCGTTTCACTGTCAAAACTGGTCAACGGACAGCTATGAACTGTATTCCCTACTAATTGGGCCCACAAGAACCGTTTCACTGTCAAAAATTGTCTACGAACAAGTCGCTATGAGCTGTATTCCTCAGTAATCAAGCTGCAATCCTATGTTTGACCGCTAGGTTCGACGTTCATAGGAAATACGTATGTGCCTTGCAGTGCAGTCGACGAGTTGTGAGCTGTTAGAATGCACGGACTAATGGAGAATATTGGGAGTGAGCGATGTTTGTCATCTGTGAAGGCGTGCTATTTTTTAACCGTTCTCACACTGATGTTGAACTGTTGGCTGATGATGCGATTAGTTGCTCCAGCTGTAGCCATTCCAACAATTTGTATTCGTGCTGCCAGAGGAATCTGCTTAACCATTGTTTATAATATGAAATCGACGTGACATTGCCAGTCGGAGGTAGGAGATCGATTAATGCTGACTATGAAACCATGCGAACGAGCATAAAACACACTCTGGCTGACTTGCCTGTGCTGTGAAAAGGTGTGTTGAACTAATAGTTATAGCTGTTTACGAATTTTCTTAAGAATTCTCTACGTTAAATGCTTACTTCTATGAAAATGACAACAATCTAAGGGTGACAATATCTGTGAGTATGAGTAGGAAAGTGATGTTAAGCTCTTACAGGTTTACGATATGATGACGTTGGATTGATTGACTTAAAATAAACTTTGACGCTGTATCGTTGAATTATTTCACAACCATGCTAAATCATCAATAGATTTCCTCGAAATAAAAATCTACACGCAACAAAGTGGGTATCATCTCACAAATGTTTTTCACACGCCCAAGCGACATTAAATGAGTGAGACTAAGCGTTAGTCTACTGGTGGTCATAAAACACTAATTCCGGCGCCTTAGATGGTTGAAGTGAGTGAGTTTAGTTTTACGCCGCACTCAGCAATATTCCAGCTATATGGCGGCGGTTTGTAAATAATCGAATCTGGACCAGACAATCCAGTGATCAACAGCATGAGCATCGATCTGCGCAATTGGGAACCGATGACTTGTGCCAACCAAGCCAGCGAGCCTGAGCACCCGATCCCGTTAGTCGCCTCTTACGACAAGCATGGGTTACTGAAGATCAGTAAAATTCTAACCCTGACCTTCACGGGTAAGCGACATAAAATCTGGTTATCACACAAATGTATCACAGTCGTCAAGGCGACATATGATAATAAATAACAATTATAACTGATTTCTTTAGCTCCTTGTATCCACCGACAGCTCATTGGCTACCATGTCTATGCACATACAGGGGTGATGTGTTCAGATCTACGTATCTTTGTAACGCATCCAGGTGCAGAATTCTGAATTCGCTGTAACTTGGCTTAAGAGCATTGCGATAATCAAGCCTAGAAGACACAAGGCACTGCATCAACAAAGTAGCTGTATCACACAAATGATGTTCCAACATCAAGACGACATATCACACAAATGATCTTCCAACGTCAAGGCGACATATCACACAAATGATGTTCCAACGTCAAGGCGAGATATCATACAAATGATCTTCCAACGTCAAGGCGACATATCATACAAATGATCTTCCAACGTCAAGGCGACATATGACACAAATGATCTTCCAACGTCAAGGCGACATATTACACAAATGATGTTCGAACGTCAAGGCGAGATATCACACAAATGATCTTCCAACGTCAAGGCGACATATGACACAAATGATCTTCCAACGTCAAGGCGACATATTACACAAATGATGTTCGAACGTCAAGGCGAGATATCATACAAATGATCTTCCAACGTCAAGGCGACATATCACACAAATGATCTTCCAACGTCAAGGCGACATATCATACAAATGATCTTCCAACGTCAAGACGACATATCACACAAATGATCTTCCAACGTCAAGACGACATATCATACAAATGATCTTCCAACGTCAAGGCGACATATTACACAAATGATCTTCCAACGTCAAGGCGACATATCACACAAATGATGTTCCAACGTCAAGGCGAGATATCATACAAATGATCTTCCAACGTCAAGGCGACATATCATACAAATGATCTTCCAACGTCAAGGCGACATATGACACAAATGATCTTCCAACGTCAAGGCGACATATTACACAAATGATGTTCGAACGTCAAGGCGAGATATCATACAAATGATCTTCCAACGTCAAGGCGACATATCATACAAATGATCTTCCAACGTCAAGGCGACATATCATACAAATGATCTTCCAAACGTCAAGACGACATATCACACAAATGATGTTCCAACGTCAAGACGACATATCATACAAATGATCTTCCAACGTCAAGACGACATATCACACAAATGATGTTCGAACGTCAAGACGACATATCACACAAATGATGTTCGAACGTCAAGGCGACATATCATACAAATGATGTTCCAACGTCAAGGCGAGATAACATACAAATGATGTTTCAACGTCAAGGCGACATATCACACAAATGATGTTCCAACGTCAAGGCGAGATATCATACAAATGATGTTTCAACGACAAGGCGACATATCACACAAATGATGTTCCAACGTCAAGACGACATATCATACAAATGATGTTTCAACGTCAAGACGACATATCACACAAATGATGTTCCAACGTCGAGGCGACATATCATACAAATGATGTTCCAACGTCAAGACGACATATCATACAAATGATGTTTCAACGACAAGGCGACATATCACACAAATGATGTTCCAACGTCAAGGCGACATATTACACAAATGATCTTCCAACGTCAAGACGACATATCATACAAATGATCTTCCAACGTCAAGGCGACATATTACACAAATGATCTTCCAACGTCAAGACGAGATATCATACAAATGATCTTCCAACGTCAAGACGACATATCATACAAATGATCTTCCAACATCAAGGCGACATATCATACAAATGATCTTCCAACGTCAAGGCGACATATCATACAAATGATGTTTCAACAACAAGGCGACATATCATACAAATGATCTTCCAACGTCAAGACGACATATTACACAAATGATCTTCCAACGTCAAGACGACATATCATACAAATGATGTTCCAACGTCAAGGCGAGATATCATACAAATTATCTTCCAACGTCAAGGCGACATATGACACAAATGATCTTCCAACGTCAAGGCGACATATTACACAAATGATGTTCCAACGTCAAGGCGAGATATCACACAAATGATCTTCCAACGTCAAGACGACATATCATACAAATGATCTTCCAACATCAAGGCGACATATCATACAAATGATCTTCCAACGTCAAGACGACATATTACACAAATGATCTTCCAACGTCAAGACGACATATCATACAAATGATCTTCCAACGTCAAGACGACATATCATACAAATGATCTTCCAACATCAAGGCGACATATCATACAAATGATCTTCCAACGTCAAGGCGACATATCATACAAATGATGTTTCAACGACAAGGCGACATATCATACAAATGATCTTCCAACGTCAAGACGACATATTACACAAATGATCTTCCAACGTCAAGACGACATATCATACAAATGATGTTCCAACGTCAAGGCGACATATCATACAAATGATCTTCCAACGTCAAGGCGACATATTACACAAATGATGTTCCAACGTCAAGGCGAGATATCATACAAATGATCTTCCAACGTCAAGGCGACATATCATACAAATGATGTTCCAACGTCAAGGCGACATATCATACAAATGATCTTCCAACGTCAAGGCGACATATTACACAAATGATGTTCCAACGTCAAGGCGACATATCATACAAATGATCTTCCAACGTCAAGACGACATATTACACAAATGATCTTCCAACGTCAAGACGACATATCATACAAATGATGTTTCAACGACAAGGCGAGATATCATGCAAATGATCTTCCAACGTCAAGGCGACATATGACACAAATGATCTTCCAACGTCAAGGCGACACATTACACAAATGATGTTCCAACGTCAAGGCGAGATATCATACAAATGATCTTCCAACGTCAAGGCGACATATCAAACAAATGATGTTCCAACGTCAAGGCGACATATCATACAAATGATCTTCCAACGTCAAGGCGACATATTACACAAATGATGTTCCAACGTCAAGGCGACATATCATACAAATGATCTTCCAACGTCAAGGCGACATATTACACAAATGATCTTCCAACGTCAAGGCGACATATCACAAAAGTGATATTCAAACGTCAAACGTACACATAATAATAAAATTCCTTGTACTTTCATACCTTGTCACCAAATGGTATCCCTACAGCAAGGCGACATGCATAATGAATGGAGCCCGTCTGTACACTACCTTGTACACGTATAAGGACAAATGGATTGCCCATGCGTGCATTACATGATAAATATAATGTTTTACATATATATTGAGATAAACAGTAAGTTGTAATTGATTGGCTCAGTCGGCAACCTGTTTTAAATTACCAATCAATATTCGTGTCTGCATAACGCACACACAGTAAACAGTTGGTCAAATTACGTCAATATGTCCTTCAGAACCTACCTGGCATGACTAAATATTTGAAATTCAAATTTTGAGATATTTCAACACATGATTGCGTACATGGTTATATAGTGTGGTATTAATCTATCATATTTTGAGCTGAGGACGTGTTTTTGTACCTTTTGAGTTTGACACATTTAAACATTTATTTAAAAAGAACAAAATTCACCAAAGCAAAACATACACACACACACACACACACACATTTTAAACGTATTTAAAATATACTCTCCCAAAAAAGAAACGCATCGTGAAAATAGCAATTTCATGTAGCAATGAATTAAAACGTGATTCATTTTACAAAAGGTTTTGGTCTGTTTATGAGTCCTATGGTGTTTATGTTTTGAAACATCACAACAAAACGCACCATCCGTAAAATACCCGTATTTAACAGCATGATTTTCTATTTCGGCATGTAGTGTCACAGAATACACAATTCACATGCAATGCACGTGAAAGTTGGGGATCAGATAGTCTCAATGATGGGTACAAAAGGTTGATCGCTGTCTGTCGATTATTCACTGTATTTGGAATATTGTTGACGAACGCAAAATGCCCCGTCTAAGTGAAGCCAACCGTCATATCGCCATTGGTTTGCTTGAAGCTGGCCAGTCTCAACGTGCAGTTGCCCGACGCATGAATGTTCACCAAAGCACCATTTTACGGCTCTGGGAGAGATATCGCCGGCAGAATTCGGTAGCAGATGCCCCTCGTAGTGGGCGACCTCAAACGACCACTGCGGCGCAGGATCGCTACATCCGGGTACATCACCTGCGTCATCGAACAGCTACGGCGACCAGTACCACTCGACAAATACCCGGATTGAGTAGGCTTTCTGCACTGACCGTCAAGAACAGGTTGAGAGAGGCTGGTTTACGTGCCAGAAGACCTTATTTTGGCCCTGTGCTTCGACAACAACATCGTCGACATCGAGTTCAATGGTGCACCAACTTTCAGACCTGGAACCTACCGAATTGGCGTAGAATCTGGTTCAGTGATGAATCACGATTTCTATTGGAACGACGCAATGGAAGAATGCGGGTGTACAGACATCGACGTGAACGTTTCGCCGACGCTTGCGTTCCCCAGGTGGACAGATTTGGCTGGGGCAGTGTTATTGTGTGGGGAGCGAGCACCTGCCGTAGGAGAAATGATTTGGTGATGATCCAGGGCAACCTGACAGCTCAACGGTACTGTGACGAAATCCTACGTCCACACCTCCTTCTAATCATTGCTCGCCAGAGGGAGTTGTTTCAACAGGACAATGCCAGACCCCACACAGCACGTCACACTAGAGACTTCCTCCAGAACCACAACATCAATGTGCTCCCCTGGCCATCAAGATCACCGGACTTAAACCCCATCAAACATCTGTGGGATGCCCTGGACAGACGGGTGCGACGCCGTAACCCTCAGCCCCAGACACTTCAGCAACTCGCACAGGCACTACAGGCAGAGTGGGCTGCGATTGGGCCACACGAGATTCTGAGACTTATTCGTTCGATGCCGAGGCGATGCCGTGCAGGTCTGGATGCCCACGGTGGTCACACGAGGTATTGACTCTAGCGCCACCACACGTCTCCATGTGACACTCAAACTGACTTTCCTCGAGTTGGTGCCAAAGACGGATAAGTCTGCATTGCCAGTGTGCAATTTCGCTATATTTCATTGACACATAAAGCCTACAAGATGTTTCAAAATAAACATGAAAATACAGTTGAAATTCCTATATGCATTTCTTTTTTGGGAGAGTATATTATTAGCCTCAGTGTTCTGTATGTAAATATCTTACATGATTTAGAATATAATTGACTCGTTGATTGTACTACACTCAATTTTGATTAGGGCTTTTTTCTTTACTTCCCATCAAAGGGTTAAGACTCAGTTAAAACACTCACTATATGTTATGTTTATATTATGCTTACATTGAAGATTGATTTCTCCACTAACTTGGGGGAACCAACTGCAAACATCAAATTGCTGAAAAGCAGGTGAAAATATCATGCATGTGAACAGCTGTGTTTTGGTGTAAAGTTTTGTTAAGAATTTGCCAATTTTCACTGATTGTTATCATTTATTGAACTCATGTCAATAATCTTTTCAACGTTACGAATTTGTTTTACAATACATCAGTTCATGTGTAAATAGTACCTTTTAACATTATGGAATATTTTGCAAAATTTAGTTCAGAACTGTTGCCTGAAGTAAGTGGCTATGTTTACACTAGTGAGTCTAAACTTTTGATGGGAAGTATATGTTCTAAATTAATTTGTTTTTTTCTTTTGAATTCCCAAAGAGGCAATCATTGATATTGTTAACATATATTTCCAAGTAGTTCTACACCCGTCTGCATTTTCTGCCATGGTAGTTCATGGATATTATGGGGTGGTGGGGTAGCCTAATGATTAAAGCGTCCTGTCGTCACGCCGAAGACCCGGGTTCGATTCCCCACGTGGGTACAATGTGTGAAGCCCAGTTCTGGTGTCCCCCGCAGTGATATTGCTGGAATATTGCTAAAAGCGACGTAAAACCATACTCACTCACACATGGTTATTATTGAGTGACTTCATTACGCTGAATCCATGATGGTATGAAAAAATGTTTGGAGATTCATTTTCGTGGTAAATGACATATTTGGTTGTAAAAGAAGTGGGCTTGTATTATTTGATTGATAGTTTATTAACATCAGATTATCGATTCCCAACATGGGTACAATTTGTGAAGCCCATTTCTGGTGTCACCCGCCGTGATATTGCTGGAATATTGCTAAAAACGGCGTAAAACCATACTCAGTCAGTAACATCAGATTATCATTTCACGGAACGATCGTTGCGCTAAGGGTAGGTTAGCACGTGCTAGTGTCATAGCCCTACGATAGATTTGTGAAACGGGGCGAGGTCTTTTCTGGATTAGAAAAAGTGTTACAATTCATTTTATTATCGTTATTCCTTGGTACCTTCCTTAATGTCATATTGCGTTGTATTCGCAGACTGAATACGTGGCGAGCAGCTAACTATTCTAAACTATCAACTACAAGATATGTACTGCACGATGATTTAAACGTCAACCTTGACCGGATGACACCGGATGACAGTCGTTTATGTTACGTCAAAATGAGAGTTATCGCACTTTTGGGATGAAAACCTAGTACCCTGGCCAAATTATTGTTAGCTTACCTGAGCTCTGAGTTGTTTCTGAAAAGAATAAATAAAGGATTAGAAGGTTGTTGGAAGGACGTCTGTCTTTATAATGACCACCAGTTTTCCCGTGACCATAATTACAATATACGTCTGCAGGCTTATCACTGGGCTGTAGACGTGGGCAGGGTATTAGAGCATAATCCATGCAACACATGTAGTACTACCCTGGCTCAGTAGCTCACGGTGCATTCTGGGTGGTACCTCCGGAACCTACAAGTATTAAGACCCTTGTCACGGGGAGGCCGGGTCAAACTGTCACCACACGCCCCTTCGTGTGAACGTTCCATTCGGCATGTTAAGTTAATTAGTTATAAAAATATGTAACATGTCATAAACAATACTCTGTAAATAATACATTTGATCGTGCCATGTTATATTATATTGGTCCATGTCCGTTTCCATAGGAAAACTGTAGAAAACTATTCACTTAACACTCAGGGCGGTGGGGTAGCCTAGTGGCTAAAGCGTTCGCTCGTCACACGAAAACCCGGGTTTGATTCCCACATGGCTACAATGTGGGAAGCACATTGGTTGTGTCCCGCCGTGATATTGCTGGAATATTGCTAAAAGCGGCCTTAAAAACTCACTCACTCACTAACACTTGTCCCGGACTGACACACGCGTGTACGTGTCAACGAATGCTGTGGGCTCTGGTCTTATCGATATTTGACACTTGACTTCTTTGGTTTATTTTGGGCAATTTACATTATAGTGGGACTTTTCCGGACAGGGGACAGAAAACTGATAAACTCCATTTTCAGATTTTGTGTTTGCATGTCTGTATCATCCTCTGGTTTGTTACTGGTAACGAAGATGAAACCGTCTGGCCTTCATTAAACCCTGAGCTTAGCGTGTATGTAACATCGTAAAGTATACCTTGATGCTTTATGCTTTTTCAGAATATGCTTACTCATCAAAACATTTCCTTGATATACAAATTCGTTGTTCAGCAATCATCTGAATGTGTATGGAAATGAGTATACAGCCGTTACTGCCACAAAACATCGTATCCTTCTGACAGCTGAGATGAACCAGCCACAGGATTCACTTTGTAGAACTGACATACATTTTTAACAAACTGTGATTCTACATATGAATGTTGATTTCGAGTCAAGACAGACACATGTAAAGTCAAGCTATGAAATTTCTTGATATATCAACCATTGTTTTACGGATCAGTTTAGGCTAAAGATCTGGAATGAGAATGAACAGAACATAGAAAGATTTTTTTACCGCCGAGCCTGATATTGCTACCCAAAGCAATATGTTGTTTGCTAAAATGCAAATGGTTTAGAAGTTCCAGACTTTTTTTCACATCTTACAAATTACTTCCAGAAATTTCGATTTATTTCCTATTTCATTATAGCTTACAAAAAACAAATAAACAGCTGTGAGGTCTGATCGTATGTTTTCGGACACCTTCCTAGTACTTTTAAAGAAAAATATGTGGTTATCATAAATAATAATATTATTCATCACCTTACACATCCTACACTAAACGCAGAACCTCAACTATCTGATGACTTCATCACATCGCACTTTCAGAACAGTATGAAAAATACCTGAGGTCATTCCCTGAACCATCGGGATAATGGGAATTTAAAAAAAATATATAAAAAAAATATTCCCAACAGTTACATGCTTGAGGCTAAATAGCGTTGCTGCCAAGATGCCAGTTTTTAGATATCCCAAGGTAACGCAATGACCGGAGCACACTGCCCAGATCCCCCCAAGCAGAAGGCAGGGAGGAGACAAAGCTCCTGAGACCAGCTGTCCTTCCTTTGATATGACCCCCTAATGAAAGACTTACCACATACTTCCATTTTGCAAAGAGAGAGTACCATTCAACGTATGTGTACGTACAAAATGAGATATCTTTGTCTTTCCGACTTTCAAAACAGGCTTGTCAAGAACAAACAATTCTTATATGGTAGAACCCAAGTTTGAATATATCTACCTGAGAACGGTTCTTCCGACGTGGAAGTCTCTGGTTGATAGTGGTTGATGTCGGCGCGGAACATTCGTTTGACTCTCGTCAGCGACAGTGACATTAACGTCGTGAGAAAACCTCCGATACGTTTCGTAAGTATCTTCAAATCGCCTATCATGATGTTTGAGGAACGGTTCTGTATTGTTGGCGGTGTGTCGCCAAGTGGTTGTCGATGAGGATGTTGGACATCCTGGCAGTCACGCCTAGCATCTCCTCATCTGGCGCTCCCATATTCCTCGCTTGAACTCAGTGTTGGTTTTGAGTTTCACATTAACGTTTTTACTGTAATTATCACCAGCAACCATGCGTGAAGTCAATATGGTGCCATCGTTTAGATTCATGTTTCTGAATCAATTATAAAGTGAAGTCTCGTTCACTATCATGTTACTCGATATATGGTTTCCGACGATGAGACTTATGTATCATCGTAAATCGTTAATGTTGCTGTGGTTTCTGTTCTCTACCAAATGACAACACATGATGGTACTTGTTGTTACCGGGGCGGTGAGGTAGTCTAGTGCTTAAAGCGTTCGCTCGTCCAACGGGTTCGATTCCCCACATGGGTACAATGTGTGAAGCCCATTTCTGATGCCTCCCATCGATATGTTGTTGGAATATTGGTTAAAAGCGGCGTAAAACTAAACTCACTCACTCACTGACTTGTTGTTACCCTGTCTGGGGCTCGGCGTTAAGGAGAAACGGGGACTTGTCGGCTCGACGTCAGCATGGTGTATCTGTGTGTATCTGAATAGTGTATCAGAGTGGGTTATCTGCCGAATGATTACTGGGTGAGAGCATTATAAAACTGTCATGGAGTAAAACAGGCAGACACACTCACACACATGGAAATACGTCAGTATACAAGTGCATCTTGATGGAACGTTAAACATCATTCCGCCTCACCTCACCTAATTTAATCCTTTTTTTGTCTCGAACGACAGATATCCCGATATGTTTCATTGTTCAAAACACTCCGGGGTAACACGTTTTTACTGTTTTTCATTAGGAAACGGAAGAAACAGTGTGTATTAACATCAGATTTAAAGTTGGTTGAAACCTTCTACCTCTGCATCCAGAATCTTCGATGTCCAGTAGAAGAGACTATGAGGATGGTCAAAGTAATCATGCTTTTCAGGAGTAAACTGTGTTCTACACGTGAAGATCCGGGTTAAAATTAATCTTCAATAACCATGCTTGCCATTGAAGGCGACTAACGGGATCGGGTGATCAGGCTCGCTGACTTGGTTGACTGACTGCCTGAGTTTGGTTTTACGCCGCTTTTAGCAATATTCCAGCAACATCACGGCGGGGGACACCAGAAATGGGCTTCACACGTTGTACCCATGTGGGGATTCGAACCCGGGTCTTCGGCGTGACGAGCCAACGCTTTAACCACTAGGCTACCCCACCGCCCCGACTTGGTTGACAAATGTCATCGTATCCCAATTGCGAAGATCGATGCTCATTATGTTAATCACTTGATTGTCTGTTCCAGACTCGATTATTTACAGTCTGCCGTCATATAGCTGGAATATTGCTGGCTACGGCTTGATGCTAAACACACTTATTCACCAAGCCTTCAATCACGTTACACTGTTATTATGTGTGCTTGAAGCGCGCGTTTGAGGTTTTACGATAGATCGTATAATTTTTGAAACCGTTTGGCAACATGCACATTTTAAATACTAGCAAACTTCCTTTTTACCGCAGTTAGTGAATGACATCTTTCCAACGACCAATTGGTTTTTGCCTTTTATTCAATGTAGGCTTAACGTGCCTCCCAGTACCTAGATGCATGGGGATGCTCAGGGGGTCTTACTGGTAATGTTACAATTAGAACTTTTGAATATTCACTGATTTATAGAATCGTTGGATATTGATACCACTATGGAAGTGTCGATGTACATTATTGTTTTGAATTGTTATGACATTGAAAATTAGTATGGCTAGGAGTCGAATAACATTCTTTCATTCTCATCCGCGCTCTGACTAAGTGAAACGATGTCTTTGATTTCAATTTATGATAGGAATCCATGTATCAGTTACAAAATATGTCTCTAAGAAATTTGGGGATAAAGAAAGGATTGTTCAGAATGCAAGCATACTGACGTTTGATAGTTTTTTTAAAACATACAATTTCCCCATGATATTCTCCCCAGCATCCCATGGATTGCCCACAGGGCAGTGAGTGTTTTTTGGCTCGGTAGTCAGGACGCTATTTTAACTGCATTTATTGCGACCCCAAGATGGTGGACAAGCTGTGATATATTGCTGTTGAGGTAATATTGCAGGGTTGTTAGTATGCAACAGGAGAACAACCCACGATCAATATTGATTATTTTGAGGTGTCATGGTTATAGCAAACAAGGAAGATAATTTTGACCTCATGAGACCGATATGAATGAATGTCGTCTCAGCTAGCAATACCAGTGCAAATGGGTGAGACCATTGGGGAAAGTAGGTAATTTTCTATTTGTTCACAAATCTCCTTAAAATCAGATCTTGAAGATTTCAGGACCTTCATCGAAGGTCGCGTGAGAACTTTCTGAGAAACCAGTCAGCTTTTAGCCTTGTAAGTGTCGTTGGAGAGGTAAGGGAAGTATTCGTACAAACAAGAGTTTTTTCTGTATTTATACATATTTTATAGGGCCTGTCGTTTCCGAGAGACACCTCATTTATACCCAGTAGGGCATTATATCAAGGACCCGTGAAGTTCCGGGTTAGAATTGGTCTAGAGGCGACTAACAGGATCGGGTGGTCAGGCTCGCTGACTTGGTTGACCCACGTGATCGTATCTCAATTGCGTAGATCGATGCTCATGCTGTTTTTTATATCACTGAATTGTCTGGTCCCGACTGGATTAAATACAGATCGCTGCGTTATAGCTGGAACAGTGCGGCGTAACACAACAACACACAAACTAAACCTGAGGGTAGTACTGTGTAGGTTTTTCTTAGCATAATAAAAAATCGAAAACCACAAAGAAATGAAGCAGAAAAGCCGACGACTGAGTGATTCATGAACTGACACACTTTTAATTTCAACTGGTCGGTCAACGTTTGCCGAAGGTTCATCTGACTCGACATTCTATGAGACTGTCTTACGAACCTCACGCCGAGATGTTCGGTATCTGACTAAAAGATCTGAATCTAATGAGATTGCCGTTTCCCCCACATCGCTTGATTGCTACTGAAAGCGGCGTTAACTTCTCACTCCACGCAATTCAAATCCATAGCTGTCAGATTTGCCCCGATTCCTAACTATTCGTCAGATATTCATGACCAATGAGAGTTATGAGCAGTGCGGGTTAGAATGTATTGCCTGACTATGATTATACCCAGGATGGCGCAATGGGAGTTATCGCTGAAGAACCTAAAACACGTTCTCCTGATTACTCACACTATCTTCATTTTAAATAGCTAAACGTACTATTTAATACACGAGTATTGGACGGCGCAGCTTGTCTTGAAACCGGGGTTAATTAATTCCGGTATGTAGCCTTCTGGATTTACGTGGGTACAAATGACTTCTGTAGATTCCGGTGGTGGCCTACATAGGGCATAGCGTCTTTTGTTCCTGACACAGATTGGAACATCCCTCGAGGAACGAGGCATACAGTGGGACCTAGGACCATGTGTGGCAATAAATGGCCAGGACAGCAGGGCACACAATTAGTGATTCTATGACCTGGGACCTAACAGCGTTAGCTTGCAACCTTAAGGAGCTGATCGATTCTCCTTTAACTACTGGTTTACTTACTCCTGGGTCGATAGCCTATTTTAGTGCCTGGTGAGGACAGGGCTATAATAACACTGACCAGGACCCGCACTCATTCATCGACTTCAAAGTGTTTTCTGCATTCCGATTGTTCAGCCGATGTTTACATGCACATTAACCGGTGGTGTTTATGGACGTCGGTCAGAACTGAGACTCGTGCTATAAGCATTCACACTGGAAAGAGTTAAGCACCGGTCATTACGTAGTCTGTCTCACAGTCCATGAACCACATTATTTCCCTACTGCCTAGCCCTCCCTGCAATGCTAAAACCCTATGTGAAGCAAGCGTCCCTGGGGCTCCTTTTCAATTCAAATGGGTCTATTTGTGACTATCAAAATTATATATATTAAGATATTAAACGTTAGTCTAGTTATTACAGATTGCCATACAAAATGTCCCCTTTGAAATATCGAATAGTGTAATTTTCTGACGAAATGTGTTTCCTTATGTTTACAAAATAAAATACCCATATTTATATAAGGACAATAAAATCGATATCTAATGACATGTTTTGTGACTAGTAGTAATTACATTGCTCCTAAAATTCTTTTCTATGATATGTTTGTATCTTATGCTATGATTGATATTCTTTGATGGTTTCCAGAAACATAGCGCTCTCGTAGAAACATTACAGTCGACATCCGCGGTCATTTTGTTAAATGAAATCAGCGTATACAACAACAACAACAACAACAGGAAAATAGACAAGATCCATTGAATACCGAGAAGTATGTGTATTATGGTTATGATTAAAAGATTGCTTGTTGGTTGTATAACGCCGCACTCAGCAATATTCCAGCTATATGGTGGCGGTCTGTAAATAATCGATTCACTACCAGACAATCCAGTGACTGACGATCAGCATCGATCTACGCAACTGGGAACCGATGACATTTGTCAAACAAGTCAGTGAGCCTGACCACCCGATCCCGTTAGTTGCCTCTTACGACATGCATGGGTTGCTGAAGACCAATTCTAACCCGGATCTTCACGGTTTTTACTATGCAGACCATGTGGTACTTATATTGGTGTTCATGCCATTATCCATGCCAGTATTTATGTGACACGTGGGTCGCTTCCTTCCATGTGTGGTGTAGTGGTTACAGCATCCGCCCGGAGAGCGGAAGATCGCGGGTTCGATCCCCGACCGCGTCATACCAAAAGACGTTAAAATATGGTACTTGTTGGTCCCTGCCTGGCGCTCGGCATTAACGGGTACAACAAGGACTGGTCGGCTAGGAGTCACTATAATGTATCTGAGTGGGGTATTCATGCTTCACTGCGGCATGGTATCTCACTGGGCTGGCACTATAAAACCAGCTTCAGTTTGGGCTAGTACAAGCAGCCGCACATACACATACACACGCATGCACGTCGTCATATGAGCGAAATATTCTCAAGCACGACGATAAACCCAATTTCACCTCACCTCACCTT